GTTAGCAGTATTCAGACTGGTGCTGCTATGAATTCAGTGGAATCACCAGTACACATGCTGGTGCTGTGGTGGGTTTAGTGGAGTCACCAGTACACATACTGGTGATGTTGTAGAGTCAGTGCAGTCACCAGTACTCAGACTGCTGCTGTTATGGGTTCAGGGGAGTCACCAGTACACATACCGTGACAGGAGCACCAGTATTGTTTCTCTTACTGTCACAGCCATTGGCATGTCGTGGACCCCAGCACTCATACATTGGTGGTGGTACTGGTGCATGTGTGCAGATGGGAAACTGTTACCCGGTCCCAGTACCACTGTGAGACCAGGAAGATATGGTACTGTAACTCGTACTGGTGTGGGTATGAGCCTGGTGCAGGTGCTGGTACTGCTCTGGGCACAACAGGGCCACTGGTGCCAGTTCTAGTGACCAGTGGGGCAGGCATGGCACAGCGGTGGGACCAGTACAGCACCACCTGCCCAGTACTGGTACCAGAATGGAACTGGTGCTGGTAGGAGAGTGAGCAAGGCCAGGGCACAGCTGCCAGTGCCAGCCCCAACACGGCAGGGGCTCCAGCATAGCACTGGTGCCAGCAAGCTCTGTCTCTTACAGGGCTTTCTTCTGGCTGGTGTCGCTGCTGCTCTCCTCGCTCATCTGGTTTATCGCAGTGAAAGCCAGCGACCCCCAGGATGAGCGGCTGCAGAAGGGGCTCCTGATTTTTGGGGTGATGTTCTCTGTGCTGCTGCAGGAGGCCTTCCGCTTCCTTTACTACAAACTCCTCAGGTAAAGGCATCTCCCCCACTGTGCCAGCACTGCTGGACAGTCTTCCTGGCTGTGGTGGTGCCAGATTTTGTCTGTGAGCTGCTGAGTTGGGGGGAATGTGTCAAGTGTGGCACCAAGCTGCTTGAGCACTTACTGAGAGTGCATGGGTGGCACCTGTTTTTGTGTGTTGACCTTAGTGAGTCTCAGGCGGTGGAGCAGAGCAGCCTTAAGGTCTGGATGATCTGGTGCCCTGACCAGCCTGGGACACTGTCTCAGTGCAGCCTTGGCAGCTCCTGCCCTTCCTGATACCAGTATTTTGGAGCATGGCGATTTGAGCTGCCGGGGGGGCACATGCTGCACCCTGTCCTGTTTATGGACACACACTGTGCTGTCGCTGGGCAGGCAGGCATGGGGAGGTGTCCTTCATACCCTTTAAATTTTGCAGATGAAAGGTGGGAGAAGGTTTGGGGAAGCTGTCTCCGCAGGCTCATGCTGCTCCCTGCGGCAGGGCACTGCTGGAGGCGGGCAGGCAGAGGGTAGCAGAGCTCCACGGAGCAGCCTCTGACATCAACCACTGCGTTTCCTTTGCCTTGCGGATCTCTGGTCCCGAGTGCTGCTGTCCTCCCCGGGCTGAGGAGCTGTCTGGCATGCTCCTTACCTGTCACACCTCTAGTTGGTACAAATCACGAAACCTCTCCTCTCCCAGTTTCTCTCCCCCAGGAGCTCTTTGAGCTCTTCCCTGCGCCACCTCCAGTGTTTGTCAACATCTTCTTAGTGTAAGTGCGAAGATCAGGTAGAGCCTCCCTCACCTGCAGTGGGGCCGCTTTCCATGCGGGGGTGCTGCTGGCCTTACACCCAACGTCCTGCTCACACCAGCCCTGCTCTGCCGGGCTGGCTGGCACTCACATTCCTCTGTGGAAAATCTTTCTCTGTGGCTTCACGTGATTTTCACATGCCTGGTTTGTCTGGTGGTGCAGATGATCTCCGTGGTGGGTGTTGCTCGGGGAGGGGGAGGTTGCCAGGAGAGTGGCTGCACCATGCTTCAAGAGGCGGTTTGTCTGTGCTGGGCTCCAGTGTGCTCTCACCCCACAGGAAGGCCATCGAGGGGCTGGTGGCCCTCAGTGAGGACGGCTGCTCCCCCATTTCCATCCAGCAAATGGCATATGGTGAGTGTTGTGCAGAGCAGAGCATCCTGACCTCAGGACAGGGCACAAGGCTGGGCAGGGCTGAGCATGGTGCTGGGAGCAAAGGGAAAGTTCTCATGCCAAAACTGGCTGGGATTTGTGTGGGGTGGCCCTTGGGGAGGCTCAGAGCTTAACAGTGTCCCTGTCCTGGCAGTGGCTGGCGTGGGCTTTGGTCTCATGAGTGGCGCCTTCTCCATGATCAATCTCCTGGCAGACGCGTTAGGGCCTGGCACTGTGGGTATCCATGGGGATTCACAGCTGTATTTCCTGACCTCAGGTGAGTAACTGGCACCCTTTGCTCACATCTCTGCCCCAACACAGAGGCAGCAGACTGTGGGCTGGAGTTTTCCCTCTTATGTTGTTTTATCCCTGGTGCACCCTCACTTTGCCTGAGCCCCTTACAGTCCTCTGTCACATCTTTGTGCCAAACTCTTCTTGCTGTCCCTTATGACCCTCCCTGTTCTTTCCCTGTCTCCCATGCTCTGGGTCTGACCCAGTCCTCCCAGTCCAGCCAGACTGCTTCTCTGCCCCCATTTACTGACTTGTCTCCATRCCTTCCCCAAGCCTGCAGGCCAGGTCAGGTGGGTAGTTCCCTGGTGACACTTCACTGCTTTTCCCTGCAGCTTTTATGACCATGGTGCTGATTTTCCTTCACACCTTCTGGGGGATCCTCTTCTTTCACGGCTGCGAGCACCGGCGCTGGTGGGAGATCGCAGCAGTCGTTATCATGCATCTCACTGTTTCGGGGTCGGTGAGTAAATGGGAGTAGGGCATTGCACCAGAACCTATATGCAGAGTACTGGTCCCTGTGCTGGGAAAAAACAACCTTTGGCACTTGCAAAGCAGCTGGCCTGCACAAACCAAATCCTGGGCCTGATGTCCCCTGTCCCACTCAATTCRCTGAGGTGATAACACTGCCACACATCCTGTCCCTGTCCTCTCCTGCCTGCTCACCCTTCTCTTTGCCTCTCTCTGCAGTCGTTTTGCAACCCCCTGTACGTGGGCAGCCTGGTGCCCTCCTACCTGCTGATGGCTGCTGCCGCTGTCTGGGCTTACCTACTCTCGGGGGGATCTGCACAGAACCTGCGGCGCTTCCTGCTCTGTAAGTGCTGCTCCATAAAGGGGGCGGGAGACACTTTGGGTCCTGTGCGGTGCCAGGACTGGTGCTTGGATGGCAAGAGGTTGTCCCTRTGGTTCAGACAAGGGCATCATCCCCTTGTCTCCCACACCAGAGGAGCATGTAGTTTTTGGGGCCATGGTCAGGTTGTTGCCTCTCCTGGAAGGARTGGGATAAAGAGTTTGGTGAAAGCTCACCACTTCTCTTCTTGGCTCTTGCAGGTTTACGGAGTGGAGCCAGCCCCCAGCCAGGATCCTGAGGCCCTGCAGGATGTTCCAGTCCCCATCCACCCCTACCCTTCCCTCTCATCCTGGCGGCAGGATCGGCCATCACCTTCTTTGCAATATCTTTTCTCCTGGACTGGGGGACCCTGGCCAGCCCTGGCGGGGCAGGCGCTGGGGTCCAGCTGTGGCAGCCAGCCGACCGGTGTGGCTGAGACTGGCTCACTCCAACGCCCCTTTGGGGGTCCCCGTAAAACATCTCAGTTTTGGGGGACCCGACTTTGCTGGCCCTGCCGTGAGCTCAGCCCCAGTTAGCCTGCCTGTGACTGCCGGAGGCTTGAGCCCAAAGAAACCCATCGCTTCTCCCCCCGCTGCCACAGATGTGCTGCCCCCCCATGCCAGAGCAGGGGGCCTGCGTTGCCTCCTCACTGCAGGTTGGAGGAAGGGGCTTTGCAAAGAGCTGCCATGCCCTGGGTYGTGGCTGGCTGCTGTAGTCTTCCTTTCTCCACCTCTCTGCCCAGTCCTGCTCCCTGCTGCCCCAGGAGCCACGGTCCTGGTGCTGACCTGCAGTAGCGCAGTGAGCCGGCATCCTGGTGCAGCAGGATGGTGCTGGGGCACCCTTGGGTACTCACAGCATGCAGGATGGGAGGAGGAGAGGGGAAAAAAGACAGTATCCAAARGGCCCAGTGGACATGGAGAGTGGTGGAGGGCTTGGGAGGAGATGCAATGCCACAGCTGTTGCCGGCACAGATTTGGGAGGGGGTTCAAGGGACCATTCCAATGGATCATTGCCCTCTCCTGTTCTTGGGGATTTTCWGGCGGGTACCAGCCCTGGTTCTGTGCCACAGGGCTGGGAGGGAGAAACTGCCATCGGGCTGAGAAGGCAGTTTTATCCACAGTGGGCTTTTATACCAATAAAATTAAGTACCACAGACATTCAGGGCTGTGTGTGACTATAGTTGTTGCCCTTGTGGGGAGGGTACAAGCAGTGGTGACAGTGGCTTGTTCTGGTGTGACTGGAGGAGGATAGTTTGGCAGTTGCAGACCTCATTTGCCTGCAGGCCTTTCTCTTGYGCTGTCTGTCCTAACAGTGACTGAGCTCTAGCTTTGGGGTGAGGCTTTTGAGGGCTGCAGACCTACAGGTCCTCTCTCCTCTCCCCTTCCCTCCCCACCCAGTTTCTCTTGGTTTTGCCGTGGCTGTAAAGCTCGCTGGGACTGCATAAAGCTGCCATGGAAGGTGGAAGGTAGCCACGGATCTAGGCTTGTTCTGGCTAATTTCTCTATGATAAAGCCAGAGGTGAGCTGGGTGGGGTCTGGCCAGCAAGCAAGCAGTGGCTCTGCCACCTTCAGCTCTGCCTCTCTTCAGCCCTACCAATGTTTTTCCAGTGCTYTGCACAAATAAGAGGAGGAAGAAGTCCCAGAGTGATAGAGGGCAGGGCTGGGCTGTGCAAGAAGCCTTGTGCTGCTTRCTCTGGAGCTCTGCCCGGTGCAGAGGCTGATGCTGTCTTTGCTGGTTGGGAAGGGGTCCCTGCACACCTCTCTCCCCTGTGGGTCCAGCTGCACCAGGGTGTTCTTTCCTGCCCCCCGGATTCTAACAAAAACAGCAGAGACAGCTGGTACCATGGGAGGCTTTTATTTTTTTTTTTTTAGTAGTTTTTACTTCATTTTATAACAAAAATATCTATTGGCGTCAAATGCTATCCCCAGACAAATAGTGAGTGCAGCCCATGCAGCCGAGGGTTGCTGGAGCACTGGCTCTTCTTGACCTGTGGTGCAAGTGAGGGAGGTGAGGTGGCGGGCTGAGCCGGTGGCGCTGGGACTGCCACAGAAGTGTGGAGTTTACGCGGTGTTCTCAGTGCTGGCTGCAGTGTAGATGACCTTGGATTTGGTCGGCGAGTCCAGCCTGGTGGGGGAAGAAAGAGGGAGGGACTGTTAGACCACGCAGGGAATCTTTTTGCCTGAGACCACCCTTAGGCTTCGTTCTCAAGTCCTGGACCTATCCTGCCCCCATCGCTCACCGTGTGTTCTGGCTGCGGTGCTTGTAGATGTACAGGAGGAAGGCCAGTGCAGTGACAGCAAAGAGCACCCCGAAGAGCACGGCCAGCACGTCTCCTGCAAGCCAAGCACAGCCGTGTTACACTGGGGGTGTTCCCTGTGGCTATTCATTTAATAAGATGAGACAAGAAGCCCAGGGACAGAGGGGACACGAAGGAGCAGCCTCGGCTGAGCATGCTTACCTGCATGAAATGAGCTGGAGTGTCCTGCAAAGGAGACAAAGACCAGAGCATGAGAACCAGTGGCATGGATGCTCGAGCAGCCAACAAACCCACTGTGGCTGCCGGTCCCCCAACTCAACACACGGCTYCCCWGTTCCCAGGCAGGTACASCCCAGTKCCCAGGCAGGTACASCCCAGTTCCCAGGCAGGTACACCCCTGTCCACCTTCCCCTCCGTAGTGCCAGCCCCTCACCTACCTGCTGCTGCTGAGTCATCACCGCCTGTAAAGAGAGACAGTGCAGTCAGGAGGTGGCCTGAGGTATTTAAGGAGGGTCAAACCTGCAGGCCTTYGGGCCCCACTTCCAAAGCAGGACTCCTCACAAGATTCCCTATCACCCACGGGGCAGGGGAGAGCTCCTCCAGAAGCCTGCAACATTTTCKTTTGCAAGAAGCCCAGCCCTGACACCCTGCCAGAAGCATGAGGAAAGGGAAGGAAAAGGATCCCTCAATCCCATCCCACACCTGAGCCCTGCTGAGCCCAGCCAGAAGCTCCTCCCATTGTTGTTGCCACTGCCTAGGAAGCATTCAGGGTGCTGAGCACTGCAGCGTCCCATGACTCCACTAGACCTTATAGGAGACCGCAGAGAGGGATGTGGGKTGAGCCGAGCAGGCAGCAGCCATGGGGACAATTGCCAGCAGCTCCCAGGGAGGAGGCAGCCATCCATTGTGGGTTGGGCACCTGGCATGGGGATGGCTTGGTGGCCCTACATGCTGGGAAGGAGCTGTGCTGGGCAAATGTTTACCCGGCACAAAAGCATGGCTTTTAAAGAGCTGCATTATCATCTGTACACGGCTCGGGTGCTGTGCACAGAGTGGCACTATCTGTGGGCTGTATCCAGCTACATGGCTGCTGCAGGAAATCTGCCACCTCCACCCAGCAGCCGGGGACAGGACCAATTGTCCAGAACTGRGGGTGACTGGGAAAAGATCAACAAGTGTGGGTGCAGAAGGTGCAGCTGCAGAAAAWACGAGATGTGACCCCACAGCACTCCCATATCGGTGCTCAGCAGCCCCAGGGGTAAAGGGGCAGTTAGCACTGATTGGGGAGAAACCCCCAACAATCCTGTGTACACAAGGCAGGGGACCAGTAATCTCATCCAGGASTACTGGGACATTGTCCTGGCACTTCAGGAACAAGGGCTTTGTGACTTTGTTACAGTGGGGATCTTTGTATAGAAATAGCAAATAAGGAAAAGAAAAAAAGGCAGAGCTATGCAACACCCCCCTTGCCCCAGCACTGGGAGGCTTTGGAACAGCTTCTGCAAGAAAGTGGTAAAAGAAAGGCTTGGAGGTAAATGGAAAATATGATAAAGTATCTAACAGGTTTACCAAAGATAGAGCATGCCAGCCTAACCCGATATCCTTCTTTGATAAGTGATATTCTAGACAAAGAAAATGYGGTAGATTTTATCTCTCCCAGCTTCAGTGAAGCATTTGAGGCAGTGCTACATAGGAAACTGCTATCCAGGCTGAAGACCACAGTGATTAAAAGCCTACAGCCATTAGCCAGTCGGCTGCAGGCGGGACGGTGAGGGAAGTGCCTTGCACCGCAGTGTGTGGTTATTGAGGCATTGCCCAGAGGCCTGGGACCAAGCCTGTGTGCTGTTCCTATTAGTCACCTTCACAAAAGGTGTAGGAAATGCCATCAGGACGGAAAAGGAACAGGATGTTGAACAGAAAAATCCTAGTGACCTCAGGGAGCAGCAACGGGCAAAAACTCAGTGATGCAGAGCGATAGTCACACCTGAGGATTAATTGTGATTACTACCCACGCCTGAAATCACCAATGCAAGAAAGGCCTTCAAGGAGAAATAGAGGGTGGGCAGACAGGGAYTGTGTGCCTGGACAGGATGGCTGTGAGGCTCCACTGGCAGAGTGCAGCCTTCAGGAGGGGTGCCCAGCACTGCCCATTCTGCAGGATTTGGAGGAGCGGTGTTCACTGCAAGTTTGTACCTCTAGCAACTCCTACTGGATTTATCTGTTGCATTTGGGATTGAAGTGCTTGGCTGTTTGCCTTTGCCCATGTATCACCTAGTCCTGCTACTGTTATATCTATGAGACAAAGGATAAAATAAGTTTCTGGAAACTGATCTTCCCCTGGCAGGGTGAAAGAAGGGCAGAAAAGGGAGAGAGCAGGACCCCAAGACCAGTTCTGCCACATGTCGCTTGCCAGGCACGTCTAACCCATACAGGTGCTGCATTTCTGTAAGAGCAGAAGCGCTGACTCCTGCTGCTTGCTCCATCACTGCATCCCTGCAGCTGGAAGCAGCCTGAGCACACTCAAACACTTCTTACCAGTGGGAGAGTGCTTCACTGAGAGGGTGGTCTGGAAACTCGCCAGCATCCGTCGCCCATGCATGTTCTGCACTGGCCGATAATTGTTCTGCAGAAYCTCATTGTCATCGGTCCTCAGGCTTGAAAACAGCATTGACATCTGGAAGGAGAACAGTGAGAATGGAGTGGCACTCATCCCACCTTTGGGAGCCACATGAGCTGCAGATCACTGGCAYAGGGCACCTGCACCAGTTACAGGGAGAGGCTGGGAGAGACCCAGCAAGGAGCTCATTGCCTTGACAGACCTGGCGATGAGAGAGCAGCATGGTCTGGTTGAAGATTGTCCATTTGACTGTCTGATAGCAGGGAGGGGTGGTCAGAGAGCCATTATAGTGGAAGTAGAATTTCAGGTTGGCYGGCAGCAGACCTGCAATGTTGAATCCAGGCACCAAGGTTTCCTGTCCTGGGGGAAGAAACATCATGGGAGTGAGACGGKTACAAACCCCTTGGAGGACAACAACATGGAGATCATGGGCAGTCTGGCACTGGGGAAAGAGCTGTGGGTTTGCCCTGGAGGCAGGACAAGGCATGTGGGCTGCCTGCTGCAGCCGTGCTCTGCCAAGCAGCAGATTTCTCTGCTGGGCTGCAGCCCCTGACACAAAGCATTAGGTGGGACAKGGCCTTACCTACTTCTTGGATTTCGGGCAGGTGCTTAATTATTTCATGGTAGTATTGGTTCTCCCCATGGCCAACCTGCAACACAGAGACCCCACGGTAATGACAATGACAGGGACAAATGGACACCAGCCAGTGATGGCAGTGCCAGCAAGGAGGTATCACTCCTTGGGAAAGGCACCATATCCTGGTGACCCCTGCATTCTGTTGGGGCTCTTCTGCCCTTTCTTTCCGCTTATTCCAAGGTGCATTTGCACCTCTGCCACTCTCCAAAACTGTGTCCAACTGCCCACCCTCGTCCCATCCTTCCCCTGCTGACCCACGGACCTCACCTCCAGAAAGGCTCCGAGWACAGCCAGTCCATCTGGGTGAACCATCGCCTCTGTAAAGCTGTCATACTTGGTGTTGTAGTGGACCACGTGGATCTGGAAGGAAAACATGGAATCCCGATGCAGGATGGGCACCATTGGGAGATGCTCACACCCACAGGGCTACAGCCTGCTAATGGAAGGGTTGTGAGAGACATGAAAATGTGACAAGTACTGCTCCAGGGAAGGGAAAGTGTTGGTGGGACCAAGAAAATCTGTGGCTGCAAAGCAGCCAGCATGAAGCTGTGCCTGCAGGAACTCCCCTGGTCAGGAACAGCAGGCCAGCACTCTGTCCTGCACACCAGGGGCTTGTGCTGCAGAGCTGGGCTCAGTTTGAGGACAACAGCTAGAAAAGGAGGGATAAAACCAGATGAGAGCTGGCAGAGCAAGAGGACAGTGTGTACAGAGTAAACAGTCCCTGTAGCTCCCAAGGCAGGCTCACAGCCTCCAGGGAAGCTGGCTTCCGCAGGCTGGGGACTGCCACAGCTCCTGCTGCATCAGCCCAGGRCCAGGCTTCAGCATGAATCTGGCTCAGCATCAAAGCGTGGCCTCCTGCACTGAGCTGCACTGCTGCAGAGCTGCACTGCTGCAGGGGTTACAGCCCGCATCCAGTGACAACCAGAGCCATGGGTGAAAAGCATGGCAGCATTCCAGTGCCWTCCCTGCCCGGCATCAAGAGATAAAAAATGGATCCAGCGCTCCAAGGGCTCCTTACCTCGGCAGCAAAGCGTCGGCCATTGACGGTGTGCTCCGAGCCAGGTCCTGATGGGGACCCCCAGTGCAGATGCAGCTGCACGGCTCGGTACTGCTGGGCATAGCCACCAGTGAGGGCCAGCGACTCGGGCAGCTCAAGGACAACTGCAGAGGCAGAAGGAAGAGGTCAGTAATGCGACAGAAAGCCCAGTCCGTGGCACAGGTACACAGAGGAGATGTCTCAAGGGAAACGGTCACCTTGGGCTTCTAGAAACTGGTCATAACAGAAAGCCTTGCTTTCCTTCTGTCATGAGGCTGTGGGCAAGCCTGCCAATGTGTCAGGGTTCAGCTTCTGACTTAAGGTTGTAGGATACCTCAGTAAATACGTCAGCTTCAAAAATAGCKGCTATGAAAATGCTGGAAAGTGAAGATCCCCTCTGCAAAGACTCCCGGGGCCAGCTCCAAGCCAAATGTTATCCAACAATTTATTCAGTAAGTGAGAATAATATAAAGAGACCGTGGACAAAATTCATAGAGAAAGGTACTGGCAGAATGGTGAATATCTATGAGAGCAGGGCAGTTGGACAGAGAGCTGCAACTCTTGGCAAGCTGGGACCTTTCAAGTAAAAAAGCCTGCAAGTGTCTGACAGCCCTGGAGCTGGTGGCACAGAAGCACTAAATATTTTGAAAGAACTTAGAGCTGAAATCTTGGCCTGTTTGGACACCACAAATTCATATGTTGTTTTTCTTTACCTTAATGTGGTTTATCCAGCTATTTTGGACTTACGCARCATTGAGGCAAATCTAAAACTGAGTGACCTGGATATGTGGCAAAAATATCAGGAGCATCTCTGGACCCTGGGAAAGGCTGTCCTATCCTTTTAAGCACCATTTYCTAATTTTTTAATGTAAGTTCTTTTCCTTTTTACATGAAATGTCCCTTAGCTAAGGTACAGATTTGTGATTAACCACGTAACAAAGTTGTGATGAGTCATTGGTCATCCTGAGTTCCTTGCCACCGGTTCAGAGATAGAAAACTCAAACACAGGAAGTGAGAAACTGTTCCCTCCCTAAGAATTTATCTGCTTTTAAATTTCTTTTGTATCGCTAAACCATTGTATTCCTTCTCCTGACTACCTGAGTCATTTTCATGCCTTCGAAAAAGCTTATATAACATATATACTTTGTTACCAAAATGAGTAACTGTGCAAGTAACTTACTGGACTTGCAACTTTTTATTTATTTATGGSTTTTCATAAAGGCAGACCAGTCGTTGCCACAATAAAAAAAAAAAAAGGCATCTTAAAAGCATGTAAGAAAGTACTTTCCTCCTCCCCAACGAAAATGCTCTTGCTGCTTTTCTAAACACCAAGCAACACCAGATGCCAGGGTGTCTAAAATAGCAACTACTGAGCTCAACTAGTTTAACTCTGCAGGCACATTAGGGCAGGAGGCCGTAATATTGAGCTGTGTGCATGCACCATGCGGCTGATCTGACCATACACAGCGAGTCTGACCTGTCAAGTTTGCTGTATACACAGGTCAGCTCCATCTCGTTGGCTACCAGGGCAAGGAGGTGCCTTATCACACGGTCAGCAAGTTCCTAGGTCCTTTTCTCCATAACCTTTTCTTAGCTTGGAGACCGGCAGACACCAGTGTGCACAAAACATTCTGCTTCCTCCAAGAAAAAGCTGGTGGCAACCAGATCCAACCATCCCCAGCTGTGGAAAGATGTGGTTTTCCTCCATATCTGGCATACTGAGGCTGATACTAAAATAACATGAACAAGCTGTGTCCAGAACTTAACAAAAACCATTCTAAAGCTGGAGAAGCGAAACAAAAGACCTGTAATAATTTCTGAAGATCTTGAGATAGAATTCTTGAGCTCAGACTTAAWGTAAGGTAGTCAAAGTTGTGCCCTGAAAGATTGATACAGGTAACTTAAAGGCTGAGTCACATCTAGAGAGTGATGAGTCCTTTGAAAGTGAAATGTGGGAGAGGAGCCTGCGTCAGAAATACCAGAGATACATTTTTAAAGAAGATATGGAGTTAATGATTTTCTGGAGCCAGCTCCCAAGACTCAGTACATCTCTGGGCTTCTCACTTAGYCCAGGAAAGCACACAGACCTGCAGAGGTTCTGATGCTTTCCTTTTGGCCTTGAAGGCAACAGGGCTGCAGCCTGCAAGACAATCTCCTTCCCTGAGCCCAAGGAACAGACATCAGAGGAGACCAGTCCTACTGGGAGAGTGAGCATCCATTGCTTGTGCTCAAGGCCTTGCAGATGCCTTTGCCCTTACCTGTGTGCCCATTGTTCTTCAGCTTGAGCAGCTTGTTGGCAGGCAGGCTGTAGCCAGAGAGCTGGATCGGCCGCAGGTCGGGGCTGAAGATGGCCTGAGCTGTGTCAACATTGACGGGTGACTGCTTGGTGCCCCCACAGTCCGAGTAATCCTCACTCCAGTGCTTTATGTCTGGTGCAAGCAGGAACGGGAGAGACTGTCAGTGAGATGGCCAGGGTGAGAAAACCTCCAGAAAGAAGGTTTGGGGGTGCTGGGGAAGGGGACAGGCACCGGCCAGGGAATTAGCCATGCACATAAGGTTAGCTTCCATGAGGTTTGCTTTGCCACCATGTGACTGAATGTAGCTGTACCAGCAAAGGTCTCGCAGCATGGTGAGCTGCCAGGAAAGTCTATTTTKGGGGTGTTTAGGAAGAGTGCAAGAAGATCATTTACAAGCAGACTTGGCAAGCTGAGGATCTGCTGCCCTGCAGCTCATCACACACTCACTGCCTCGCACAGCCTGGCCTCTRGCAGGGATCACCCCCACTGCTGCTCCAGCAAGGTACCACGGTGCTGCTGGGCTCTGTGGCCAAAGGGCCAGCTCAGTGGCTGGGATGGCTGCTGAAATGGCCACCTCTCCCCTGGGATAAGCATGGCTGATTCCCCTTTCCGTGGGCTGCTTMTAGAGTGTCATGGGCCAGTGCAAACCTGGGCTGGTCTCCAGGCCAGCGCCTTGCAGGACCTCTGTAAATATGGAGCTGGGCATTATTAGCTGACCCCAAACCCAGAGGGATGGGGCATAGCCATGATGAGAGGCCAGGACCAGGCAGGATGGGGAGGGAGGGTGACACAGGACAGAGGTGAAGACAAGCTAATCCCTGGGCTGGTCAAAGTCCCAGCATGGACTACATGTCCGCAGCCTGGGGAGCGCAGCCTTTTCCCCACTTGGCACAGGATCAGGGGAGCTCCTGTTCAGGGAGGAGCCCTTCCCTGAGGGGCATCCCCCCCACACACCAGGGCTGGGAAAGCCCTTGTTGGAGCTGCTGCTTCCTGCTGAAATCAGAGCAACCCCTGGCTGTTCAGCCCATCTGTGCCTGACTGCGGGCATTGTGTCAGGGTCAGGCAGCAGGGAAGGGTGAGTCGTGGAGTGCGCACAGAAGCCCTGGTAATCATTAACCACGSCTGGCTCAGGCCCAGGATCTGTTGGGTAGTAGGAAAAAAGCAGAAGTAACTGCAGGGTATTTACCTTCATAGCTCCAGTGGCTGTGGCCTTGAAAAAAAAGAAAAGAAAAAACCACATGAATGGAAGGGAAAGGTTGTCAGCAAACACACCTCTGCCAGGCAGCCGGTCTCTGGGCTCCCCCTCCCTTCAATCCCCCTCCCCGCCTTTGCTTCCCCACTTCTCCCTCTGTCCCAACAAAGGGCACGTTCCCAGAGGGTACTGCCTCCTTGGAGCAGGGCCAGGTCCCCTGCAGTCGTCACTCAGAGGGAAAACTCCAGGGCTGACATTTTGTCATCATCATTAAAAAGGAAAAATTAGAGGTAATCAGTTTCCATCACTGAGCACTTTGGCAGCTACTCCCAAGCAGCCAAAATCTGCCACTGCCCCAAGACAAGGGGATGGGGAGTTTGGGCAGCAAGATGCACTGTGCCGTGCAGACACCCTCCTCCCACCTGGGAAAGCTGYCCTGGGACTGACAGCAGAGGAAGAAAACGAGCATCAAAACCTCTTTACACCAGTGGCAGTCCCTACAGTGGCGATGGGTTTTCCTGGAGCCTCCTGTTGTAGCTCCTGTGAGCATCCAAACGCCTCCACAGAGCTGCACAAGGGTCCTACCAAGAAAAACCCTTTCCTTAAGAAAAACAGGAGGGATGGTAGGGGATCCCATGCCAGGACCTCTGCATTTCTTGTGTCACCCATGAGACCACAGCAAGGCAGGATGCGACCTGAGCTTCCACAGCTGCTGCTGTGCCCACTGTGCAGATCTAGAGGGGACAAAGCCCTCCTGGGAAGGTCCTGAGAATGCCCAGCTCTCAACAAGCTGGCTCTCACACTGTCGCTCTCCTCCAGAGCTGCCAGCAAYGCCCAGATTCCCAGCACATCACTGGAGCTGGCCTTAGAAGTGSACCAGAACCCTTTCTCAAATGTCCCTGACCAAACATCTTACCTATCACCAGCCCTTCTAAGCAACCAGCTCCAGACAAAGGGATGTGGGGCTCAGATTTGCCCCAAGCAGGGAAACATGGCCTAAAAGGATTATGTGCCTGCTCTGACTGGCACAACAGGTAATTCATGGGCTCCTCCTCTGACTTGTCCTTACCAGCATGTTTGTCACTGCAAACAGGCTCTTGGCACTTCCCAGCCCACGAGTTCTGGGAGAGGAGAGTGCCAGGCTGGGACAGGTTTGGGGCACAGAGGGACATTCATAMGGTGGCAATGACATGGAGAAGCATTTCAGAGGTGCAGGTGAGTCCCCAGTGTCATCTCTGTCCCTTGTGGGGCTGTTTGCCTGCCAGCCTTGCCAGGATGCAGGAGGGTCTCAGCAGGAGCTGCTCCAGCCCCCATCCCTGCTGCTGACAGGAGCTATYGACACCCACTTGCTATTAATAGGAGTGGATTCCAGCTCAGGGGTGAGAAAGGAATGAGCGAGCTTTCCCAGGCCCAGATGTCCCATGGAAGGGCCTAAGCCCAGCAGGATCCTGCCCTCCACTCAGCAAGGATCCAGGCACGGGCACTGCTGGGGGTCTTGGTGCATTTGCTGCTCAGGACAGTGGATGACCAYGGCCAAACTGGGCTGGGAAGGGCTGGAGGGTGTTCAGGGGCACTGTGTGCTGCAGAGATGGGAACAGATCTCAGGGCTCCCTCCAACATGACCAGTGACTCACCTCTGGCGCATTTTTGATGCTCAGGAGCAATGCTCGGGAGTCCCTTGGGTATTCCCAAAGGCATAGGAAGAAGGACCAGCAAACAGAGGRCTGGGCAGGCCACAGCTGCATGCACCAGGACACATGTGCCCCAGGACAGACTGCAGTGCCCTCTCTGTGTCTGCTGACACTGCCCTGGGATGCACCCAGCTGTGCAAGCAAGCTGAAATCATTTATCTTGCCCACCTTGCTCACACAAGGCTTACCTGCTACCCAGACACTGACTGTGCACCCAAATCCAGAGAACACAGACCCTCCTCTGGAAACACCCAGAATCTTCTCCCACACTGCTCCCACTCTCCTGGCACTGTCTGCACAGAGGAAAGCTCACATTGGGGCAGTCCTGGCACAGGTGAGGCACAGCACCCCAGGGCTGGCATGTGGTGCCTTGGCTCACTGCACATGCCTCAACTGGCACGGCCTGCCCCGACACCCCACTTTTTGCTCACCTGCAGGGACTCTGCCTTGGCTGAGAKCAGCTCAAACATCATATCACGGATTGAGCAATAGCACCGTGCTGACACCTGCCCTGCTGTGTCAGCACTGTGCCACCTACCCCAGCTTCCCACATCTCCCAGCACTCATCCATTCCCACAGCCAAAGAGGCTCTGGGTCCTCCTTGCAGTCTCCCACCAGCTCAGCTCAGCACACCCCAAAGGCTGCAGCTGCACCCAGGAGCCAGCTCAGTCAACCCCAACACAACAGCCTTCCTCAAGGATGTCTCGGTACCGAAACCATGAGCTCTCATCCATCCACTGAAGCCCCGTCGAGTGCGTTTTTTCCCATCCTGCGGATCTGGGTGCAGTGTTGGCACAGCGAGGCCGCCCCTCGGGCAGGCGTCTCTCAAGCGCCGCTGTGCAGGGCTGGGCCCCCTTGGACACGCACCGAGAGCTGCAGGAGAGCCCCGAGGCGAGCCCAGCCCGAGCGCTGGGTCAGCTCTCAGCATCAGCCCCTGCCTCGGCACGGCTCGGACCGGCACGGCTCGGAGGAGCCYTCCGCTAACTACTCTGAGCCCTTCCGCTCGGAAGGGATTGGGGGCATTTACAATCTCACAGCCCTTTGCCATGAACATTAATCCACTACCCTGCCCAAGAGCTGATTTGCATAATTTCACTCTTCCTCCCACGCTTCCCGCCGGAGCACGTATTCTCCTTCAAAAAGCTGTGTGATGCCAGGTCTCCCTTCTGCCGAACTGCTGCCGCTCGCCCTCAGCAGCGGGTGCTGCAGCTCTCTGCATGCTCTGCCTCACCTCTGAGCACCCACCGCCCCGGCAGGGACTGMAAAACGCTCCCAAAAACGTAGGGGGAAACAACCCCGGTGATGCGATGCGCACACCGGGGGATAACGTGCAAGGAGAGAGCTCCTTGCAGGGGTTCCAGCAGGAAAACACAGTCGGGGGCTGTCAGGAGCTGCCTCTGCCATTGCGGACGAGAACGCCTCCGCGCTCAACCGCGCAGAGCCCCCGCTTCACCTGAGCACTGCCTGCCGCCCGCCTTTCCCCAGCAGCTCGCCATCCAGCCAAGTTTCCCACGAGTTTCCCTGCTTCACACCCTCCCTTTGTGCTTTCTCCTGCTGTTCCTTGCTCCCACTCAGCCCTCCCATTCTGGGATACAGACTTTGCTGCGAGTGCCAGCTCCCTTCCCTCCTTGACATCCAACACCATCCAACAACACTTTCCTGCCGAGTTCAGGCAGACGCTGCCATTACCAGCGTGCTGCTCCGCATGTCCTGCAGCCCGGGAGGAAGGGTAGGAGCAGCTTTTGGCAGGGTGACGAGCCAGCTCAACCACTGGCTGCTGCGAATCACACATAGGAAAGGCACTGATGCAGCAAACTGCTCCCAGGAGACCTCACCAAGGACTCACAGGGATGGATTGTGCACCCAAAGGACTCGGGATCATCTGTACAGACCAAGAGGCAACCCCTCAGCAAAGCCAGACAACAAGGAGACCAGAAGGTTTACCCTATAGGTCTGCACCTCCCATTCTGAGTTTTTCATCTGTTAGGGGCTAATGAGTTTTTCATGTTTTAGTCTGAGGCTGCTGCAAGGCACCTGACAGCACTGAAACACATGTGCTGTTCACAGCGTGGATGCTGCCTGACAGCAGCACCGCCACTGGTGCTGCCTGCTCTCCTCAACTCCACGAGTTGGAAGGCTCGTGTGCGGCAGGCAGAGCAGCGGGCACACTTCTAACACTTCCATCCTGCTCTCTTATCAGCCGGGCACACGGTGCCCTGTGCTCAGCTGCAGGGAGTGCTGGCATCCTGCCAGAGCCTCCTCATCCCACCGGGACCCAATCCTGAGCCATACCTGGGTCAAARCCCAACGGGATGAGTTCAGCTTGCAGATGGCCAGGCCAGGAGCACCTTTCTGTGCCCTGTGTGTGGATCAGATCCAGGCTATGGAGGGATCAGTGTAGCATACAGCCCAGAAAAGAGGGTAAGTGGGGTATTATTCCTAAGGTTTAGTAAGCCAGGAGGTACCAGGACACACAGTGATAAGCAGAGTTCAGGTCCCAGCTTACAAAACACATCCAGACACCGTGTCCCTAGAAAGAAATAACCTGATCTCGGTGTCTGACTGTGCTCATGGTGTCCACAGTCAGCTCTCCAGTCTGTGGCAAACATGGCACGGGCACMGGGTCTCGGCAGCAGGGTGCATAATTTGAGCATCCTTCTGCCAAGCCCCACAGGAAGTCTCTCGATGGGAGGGCTGTGCCATCCCGGCCCCACCTCCATCCCGGTTTCTCCATCCAGACACACCCCGTGCAGCAGCACCCATGTACTTTCAGCCCGTGATACCACCCCATGTGCTGCCAATGGGGGCTCTGATCCCCCCTCAAGCCTGGCTGCATTAAAGCCCCTTTGTGTTTGTAAACTCTGACCCACGGCAAGCCCTTGGGATCAGCCTTTAATCTCTCACTGGTAGCACAGGTCACTGCAGGGATTGTTCTTTGTTCTTCTGASGGAGAACTGCTTGGGCTGTGGAGCCCAAGACTGTGCCAGCTCCCCCCGAAAGGGGCAAGGGTTTGGGTGGAGGAAGGCATAGGGCAGGCTTTACTCCAGGGCATGTTCCTGCTCCTTCTGAGCCCAGCTGCTCCAGCAAGTGCTGGGGGAAACAGGAAACAATCAGAGTGCTGCAGAGAAAGGGCTATCCCAACAAAAGGGATAAAAATGGGGAAATCCCAGAAGACAGATCAGTGCAGGGAGCTGGGGCAAGAGATGAGTAAGGAGTATTAAGCAAGAAAAAGAGGTTCACTTGGAGGAAAAGGACATTGGGGAATGAGCAAGAAGAGGACACTGAGAGCGAGACACATCTGAATAGGAGTGAGAGTAAACAGGGAGTGGGAGTTTCTGCTTCCCAAAGACACACTTAGCACAGAACCCAGGTCTCTGGGCAAGCCAGTCATCTCAGGGAACAACCCTATGGCAAATCCCTGAGGATGTGCACAGTGGCCAGGGCCGGGGGGCCACCAGCCCTACCTCGTGCACAAGCCTCAAGGGAACCAGCTCATCACCCGATAGAGRTGCTGAGACATGCAGGTCCTGGCACCCAGCAGGAGCCTTGGAGGGCTCCAGCCATGACCTGCTTCTCATGGGACTCCATCCAGACCTTCAGCCTCTAACACTGGTACAGCATCAGCTACCTTGCCTGTCCCCTACTTACCTCTGGATCACCTCCTTTCCCCTTCTCCATCCCAACCCCACCACCCACCCATTCCCAGTYTCACGGGGTGTCCAGCCCTTGGCCAGCGCAGTGCACCGGTATGTTGGACGCTGGACAGCCTCCCACCCTGTGGCCTGGGTTATTTAATCTTTGTGGCAAAAGCCGYCTGCATCCCCATCTCTGTAAAGTGCTCAGCCCGGCAGGCTCTGGTAAGAAAAGTGATTCATTTCAATTACAAAAGCAGCTCCTGGCACCAAACAAATCCCGGCCGTTACCACAGGGCAGCTGTCCTGGCACAGGTCAGGACAYCTCCTTACCAGAGGCGAAACCAAGGACACGCTATGAGGCTGAGCCCGGGAAACMAACCTGCGGGCAAAGTGGGGACAAGGAGCATAACCAGCTACGGCAATGTCCCAGTGCGGAGCTCAGCCCCGGCGAGCGAATCCCCAGCGCTCCCCCAAAATCCCTGMGGAGCGCTGGCAGTGCCACAGCCTCCAATCAGAAAAGGCACCAAGACCAAAGACCCRGGACTTTCCCCCTGAACCCATAACTCTGAAAGCCCCCACACCAGCAGCAAGGCATCTCACGGCGAGGAGGAGGGGCACACACAGCCCTGCAGCCCTGCGTTCTGTCACGTCCCCCGTCCCCCATCGTCAGCCATGGGGCAGTCCAGCTCCAAGTCTGCAGCAGGGCCAGGCGCCGTTCTTGGAGGGCCGCGGGGGGACAAGGTGGATGCGGCGCAGCCCAGCAGACAWGCTGCGGGATGAAGGGGACCGCCACCGCTCACCACGCCGGGGTGCAGGGCTGGAACCTCCGGGCGGTCCCCGAGAGCGAGCGGGGACTGCTGAGTGCACAACTTTTGTACCCCCATCTCAGGAAGCSCTGAGCCCCTCGGTCTGATGCGAGAGGGACTTAGTGAAGGAAATGGGCTGTGGACAAAGCGAGGGCCCAGCCCCYGGGCAGGGGTCGGGCCAGTCGAGCCGCACGGGAGTTGGCGGGAGCAGGGACAAAGGCAGGGACGTGCTGGGGGGTGCACCGCCCGCAGCTGGGCGATGCTGAGGGCACACATCTCCAGGGGGGCACGCATCTCCACGGGGGCACGCATCTCCACGGGGGCACGCATCTCCACGGGGGCATCTCACGCTGGGGAGCACCTGGAGCCCAACACGGGTGCAGCAGGAGGTACAGCAGCCCCCTCGCCGCCAAACCAAGCAAGAGGAGAACTCCCTGGCACTGGGAACACCTCTCCAAAAAACACAAGCCTTGAGACATCCCAAATCCAGCACCCCTTGCACTGAGGCGCTCCACTCATCAAGGAGCCCCAACTCAAAAAGGGATTATATGATTCAGGGGATCCCTTGTATCAGACACCCCAAACTCAGTATTGGGGTGCTGCACGCATCAGGGTGCTCAGGCACCGGCGATCCCAAACTAAGCTCCTGGGCATCTCGTGCACGGGGACCCCAAAGGCAGCAGCGGGGTGTCCCACGCCTCGTGGAGCCCCGCGCACTGAGGGACCCCCGCTCACCTTTCCCCGGGGAGTGCGGGTGCTCATCGCCGCCGTGTTCCTGGTCGCTCTCGCTGTCGGAGCCGGCATGGCCCAGGGAGGGCAGGAGCAGGAGCGGGAGTAGGAGCGAGACCCGCAGCGCGGCGCGGTTCATCTCCGACAAGTGCGCGGGTGCGGGACGGCGGCTCCGTGCCTGCCCGCCCGCCCGGCCGCACGTAAGTGAGAGCGGGCGGGGAGGAGGCGGTGGCTCTGACTCACGCCTCCGTTACCTTTTATAGGGGCTGGAGGCAAAGTCTGCCGCCGCATGGTCCGGCCAGGTGAGCCGCCCGACGCGGGACTCGAACCCGGGACTCCCCCCAGGGGTGCCCCCACCCCACCCCGGTGCCCGCCGGGACACGCGGGGGAGCCGCAGGCGGGGAAGCCCGGTCGCTTCTCAATCTCCTCAGCCTTGAGTGTCGCCTCTCCTCGGTGATGGATCAAGGATTCCTGCACCGTGGGGGTCCTTGTCCCCAGCAGTGGGTGAAAGACCCCTCAGCCATGAGTGTCCCMTCTCCTCAGAGATGAATGAAGTGACTCTCAGCAGTGGGTGTCCCCTCTCCTCGGTGATGAGTTTGGGACCAGCCAGCCATCGGTTTCCACTCTCCTCAGCAGTGGGTGCCCCCTCTCCTCAGAATTGGGGTTGGCACCCCTCAGCCAYGACTATCCCCTCTCCACACTGATGGGTGAGGGGTTTCTTTATCATGGGTGTTCTCTCTCCTCAGAGMCATGAAGAATCCTTTGATAGCGGCTGTCCCCTCTCCTCAGCAATGGGTGAAGGACCCTGCTGCATTGAGGTGCAGACCCCTCAGCCRTGGCTGTCCCCACTCCTCAGCAGTGGATGTCCCCTCTTCTTACTGGTGTACAGTTAAGAAAAGCATTTCTGTGAGGTGACAGGATGACACAACTCCACTTTGAGCAGAAGTCTTTCTCCTGCTCCTCAGAAGTTACAGGAAGCATGTGGGTGCTGCTCAGTGTGTGTATATGAGTGTACCTGGATACCAAAAATGACTGAGCACATGAACAACAGACTGTGGTCCAGGTTGGTAGATGCAAACTGCTGCACATTTGGTGTAGTCAAGGATGCACAGCATTAAAGGTGGGCTTTAATCAGCTAATAAAACTCACAGAGGAGACCAGAGAGTCATGGTGATGGCAGCTCACCACTTGCCAAGAAAAAAGTGAAGTAAGCATCAGGGATTATCAAGAAAGAAACAAAAACCAAACCAAAACAGTAAAACACACCCCATCCTGCTGCTGAATAAATCTTGGCCAAATCTTGCCCGTGGTTTTGTTTCTCCCATCACAAAAGGGTCAGGAACAGAAACAGCATGCATGAGGCCCCAGGGCTGTTTGGGGGTGAGGGTGGTTTCCACATAAAGAARGAGTGAAGCAGGCATGGCTGCCCAGCCTGGTGGAGTCAACTCTGTGCCTGTAGCATCCTGGCTTGCATGATATTGGAGAGGAGGGAACGAGAACTTTCTCTCTCGGGATAGAGGATTTACAGCACACTCAACTAAAACAATCCAGCAGGAAGTTTGAGTCCAACCAGCAAATTATTTTTTCATGTGGTACAAAAGGGAATGGGGAAAATCCTTTCCCTCAGCGAGTAATTTGTACACACACAAAAAGGTACCAGACAAGTTAATGGGATATTGTGCCTTGCTCTGCGGCACTGCCACAGTCCCAGCTCTGTGCCATGCCCCACAGGCTCCACGCCTCTGCTAAACCAGTTTGCCCAGCTCTTTCCAGCCCAAATCACTGGTCATCCCAACACCTTCCTTTATGAACGTGCTCAGCGTAGCTGTGTGAATGCATCCATATCCACAGGCTTGCCATCATTGCAAAAGGGCCCAAGATCCATCAAGTGGTACAGAAGATCTGGCTKGGGATGGATTTTGTGCTGGGCAGGAGGAACCCGTGCCAAAAAGCCAGCAGCTGGGAACACAGGCTGCTGGCCATTGGCAACCTGGCACCATGGGTTTGTGCCTTGGGCTGTGCCAGAGGTGGTTCCTCCTTCCTGCCATTGCTGGAGAGCTGTGTCTCTGGGGTGACCTGCAGGGAGGATCAATGCATTATTCTGCTTTACCTTGCTCCTKCCAACACCAGATAAATGGAACCATCACATAAGAAGACATACCTTTGCCAAGGCTTGAGGAAACAGGGCTGTGAGGGGAAAATCAACCATAAACTGCAATTCCAGGGCTTTCTCCTCATGTTCTTGTGGTTTACCTTAATGGTCTTTTATCCTGAGGGGAAACAAAGAAGGCTGTTTTATACAGCAGAGGAATGACAGACTCAGTCTGCCCTTTTTTCTGGACGACCCTCATGCAGTTCCCACCTCACACCTGAGTTTATCAATTCTGCTTGCTYCTCCAGGGAGGTTGCCCTGCATTCTCTTTTCTGCCCTGACTTTCTGAGATTTCACTGTCCTCCCTCCCTATCGCTCTTCAGGGATGAGCATATCATATCACGGCCGCTGCAACTGCGCGTGTCTTCTTTCCACCTGTGATCTCCTACACTTTGTCAGCTCTTTTGTAGGGATGACACTTGGCAGCTGTGGACACTTAGAATGAAAGGTGACTCCATCACCAGGGCACTTGGCCTGGACAGTGTCTCCTGGGAATGCTGGGGTTTGTAAATCACTGCTGCCTTCCACGAGCCTTGCAGGGCAGACAGGGAAGAGCACAAAGGGGTTTGTTGTCCTGTACAAAGTTCACACYACTTCTGTATCCTCACCAAAAGCTGTTCCCTGGTAGAATAATGCCAGAGGAGATCTGATCAGAGGGACTCAGGCCTCTGCAAACAGCCTGACGCTTTGCCCTTCTTGGCTGTGAGATATCTGGAAATGTGCAGCACCACACTTGTGCTCAGCTCAGCATGGAACCAGCCCGAGGCACAAAGAACTGGCGTACCAGGGAGCTTCTCCAATCCTGCACAGCACAAGATGCACCAGGCTGAGATAGAGTGGGTGTACTTCTGGAAACACTGGCTGRTCTTGTTTTAGCTCCAGTGCTGTAGGGAGGGACGACCTCTAAATGCTTGTAAAAGGGTTTATTCTCACGAAAAAGATGTCGTTCCCTGGAAAATTAACTCATGTTAAGGAAAGGCTTGGATGTCTAGAAGAATTCTGGCACTCTGGGTCTGATTCAAAATTGTACCAGTAATCCTTTCCCACGGGACATACTAGTGAATTCCCGAGCTAATTGAGGGTTTTTTGTCTGTTACTTTTAATGTAAAAACAGTGGACACTGCTTTATCAGTGTTTCTGCTGTGCCTATTCACAATTTGGAGTTAAGTTCCCTGGGTGATTTCCAAGCGAAATCAGGCTGATCTGTGTCACTCACTGARGTGAATCCCCCGTACTGGCACCTGCAGTTTGTGTTTTATAAGTGAGATTTGGGTAGAACCACCTAAACAACAATCCTTTCTTTGAGGTGAAATTAGCCCACTTTGTAATTGCAAAAGTTGCAAAAACGTCTCCTCGCAGTTWTTTTTATTTTCATCTCCTCATCTGTTTGCTTTGTTGCACTGGTGCCATAGGCTGCCCAAGCCCTACACCAACACAGTGCTTGTCCAGCAAATAACCAACTTTCAATGCCTGAGGGAAGGATGACAAGGAGTATTTTGAGGCAAGAGTGTTAATCACTTGTTGCTTTCCCTTGAATGTCGAGGGTAGTGGCTCCTAATTTTGAAGCAAACCCAGCACCTGTGCTGTGGGGCTCCAGATCCAGTCCAGGTCCTGCTCTTCTCTTCTCTGTTGCCAAATTGTAGGATCAGGTAGCCAGGGAACCCAGCTGGTCCCAGAGCACCTGCACCTGTGCCAAACCTGAGGCATGGGAGCTGCTGTAAAATTATGAATTCTAGCAGCTGTAGTAGGGGTGGGTTTAAAATACACATTTTAGTGTTTCTATGCATGATTATAATGCACAAAGTTTACACACACATTGTTGCTTATTGATAAAAACAACTTGAATAACGGGAAATGGAATTTTGTTTTAACTTTAAGAGACTCGCTTCCAAATCTGAGTCTCAAAATACCATAAATTCTGTAAACTAAGAAGTCTGACTTCAGACAAAGTCTGCATAGAAGCGTCTAGATCCTTTTGTCATTATGTTCCAGGTAGGAAAGCAACCTGCCCAGCAGCTGCTGGCAAGCACCAGCTAGAAAGTTGTCCCAGCAAGACAAAAATGTGAAGATTTGTAGCTGGCAAGAACTTCCAAGAGCACAGAGGTGCCTCACGTTCACTCTTCAGCAGTGAATACATCAATCGTTTTAATTGCAGCATACAGAACAAGAGTTTACCTATAGCTATGTCCAAATAAGGACTGATAACTCTTGCCTAGGCGCTGACTTTGATCCCCYTTTTTAAAACAACAGCTTCATGACCACCCTCATGACCTAATGAAGCTACATGTGGAAAGCAGTGATTCTCTGCCCTGTGTTTTCTTGGTCTTAGTATAAAACCTCAGAATTCTGCCCTTTTGGTAGTACTTATTCCCTGAGGTATTTATAGGCAGCAATTCTATCCTGTCTCAAACTGTGTTTTGAAAGTTTAGACTGAAGTCTGAAAGAATTTATCTTGTCACAGAATAAATGCCCCTTCTGCTCCAGGTCTCTTCTGTTCCTCTTCAAGTTTTAATTAATCTTTTCTGAATGCATACCTGCTAAATCATACGTTTAACCTACATGGAAAATCCTTCTCCTGCCACATGCAAAACCACTCCAAGTAAGCACACAATCAGGTGGTTTGCATACTCTTCTTCTTTTTTTCTTTTCTTTTTTTTTTTTTTTTTTTTTTTTTTTTTTTTTTTTTTTTTTTTTTTTTTTTTTTTTTTTTTTTCCTACAGCATTTTATACCGGGAAATCTGATTAGCAGCTCATCAGTACTCAGGAACACAAAGTTCCATGACAGGCAGCCTTCACACCCCTGCTGCAACAGCTTTACAGCTGCACAGCAGTGTTTCCCAGATCATGTCACTGACATGTTCATTCCCCTTGTGAAGGTCTCTAATGACAGCATTTATGAGTCTGGATCMTAAAACCCACTTCAGTGCATTTCAGTAATATAATCTTTACTGTGWAGGGCCTCTTTTCTTAAGGTGACCCATTAATTTTCCTTTTTATAAAAAAAAAAAAATATATCTTTTTATTCCTTATCATCTTGATTCTAATTAATACTCACATTTKAAATTACTTCAAAAATGCAT